AGTTTTTGTACAGCAAATGTGACAAGATACACGTTAATATCAACTGCTGTATGGATATTTATAATATTAATATAAAAAAAAACTGATTTAACGTCCACAAAGCGGGATTGAAGTGTCTTCTTTTATAATTGTACTGACATGCGGCTGTGGTGAAAGACTGTAAAATCGCTGTAATTCATTACAAACATGCACTATTTTAAAAATGTTTTAAACTCATTATTGATTACATTTGATGATCATAGAGAGCTAAGCAGATCTTTTAATCCCAGTTGCTTTGCAGACGTCCCGTCTTGTTGATATGACATTCAGTGGGTGGGGAAACCACACTCCAACGTCAAGTAGGCCTCAAAATGGGAGGGATTTGGATCCTATTTTAATGTCAGGAAATTTTAAAAAAAGAGACTTATTGTTTCTATCACCAAAATATGACATGTGGACATAATATATCTACACACAGTTCTGTCCAAATAGCTTCTAAAACATTATTTTCATCATTGGTGCACTTTAATATGAATGAAAACATCAAGAAGAAAGAAAGAATTTTTTTTTTAAATCGTAATTCATTCTTTAGTCTTTTGTTAATTGACATTAGTGGTATTTTCTGAAATCAGATAACAGTCTGAAACTGAAATTTGTTAAAAAGGTGAGAATACAACATCTTTTTTTAAACTGTGGAATTAATTTATCATTTAAATATCCATTTCTAATGGTTAGTATTAGGATGCACAACACTGGAAAATTTTAACATCGCCATTTATTTTCATTATGATATGTATATTGTGATATGATACGATTTCACTTGATTAGCTGAATAACTTTTTTGGAAAAAATGTATAACTTTAAACTGATATAGAGAATTCTGTAGGGGAGTGCATAAAATATAATGCACAATCTACAAGCACAGATCCATTCAATAAAGAAAAAGATTCAAATGAAATAAACAGCATTTTGTTGTTTTCTGAGGAGTCGAACTGTATTTAGGTACAGTATATAGTAATTTAATAATCAAATGTAAAATAATACTGCATATAGTCTTTGTTTTAAAAACACTTAAGCAAAATAAATCTTTGTTAATTTGTCAAAGTTACAAATGGTTCAGTTTATTAAATCTGAATCCTTTTACAACCCTCACACAGTCACAGGCTTTAAAAAACACTTGCGAAATGATCAATTATTATCCACGCTCAACACTGATATACTTGCGATGTGACTATTGCGATTGATCACATTGTGATATTCATGCTGAAACAATATATTGTGCAGCTCTTGTTGGTATAATTCTTTAAAGCATGACAGAAGATTTTCAAAACAAATTTAAAATTGACTTTAGTTTTAAAAAATTGATTTAATGATTTATTGGTTCATTGGATTTACTACTTTTTTTAAGGCAAGTGGTTGCAAACAAACTATATGGGCTGAATTTAAACAAACAAATTAAGATAAATTAAATTTAAAACCATTATTCATTCATTAATTTTCCTTCAGCTTCATCTCTATTTCAGAGGTCACCACAATGGAATGAGCAGCCGAAAATTGCTAAATTTAAGTTTTAAATTCAGCCAATATAAACTGATTGCAGATACTTTTATTAAATCTAATTAATCTTTTTTTTTTTTTTTTTCAGTTCAGAACCATGAGTGCTGTTTTAAAAATGCTAAGCTGTGAGTACTTCTCCAACTGTCAAAGTTTTAAAAACACCAAGCTACGCTGTCAGTTTTAAATATGTGTAACTTCCATTGACAATCACAGAAAAAAGCACTCAGGTCAGGGAAAAAAAATGCCTCGCTACTATAAGGTATCAGGACACTGCTAGTCTTGTTACATTGGCTCCCAGCTGATTTTGAGGTGAAGTACAAGTTTTAATATGAAGGTCAATGTAGGTATCTCACATGTTACTTTCATTGAACACAGTTTGACTACAGTTAAATCAGGACATATTATTGTTGAATAAAAGATTATTTTCTTTGCACAAAACCACAAAACAACTTAATGTCTGTCATAGTTTGTAATTGAATACGCTTTCTGTTGTGATTTGTTTGGGAACTCAATTTTATGCTGTTGAATTGTTGCAATGTGATTGGGTTCAAGTCCGCTAAAGCAAAAGAAATGTAAGCGATGTAAAATCAAGGTAAAACTGTGGTGCTGTGCACTTTTGTTTTATGTTTCCTTTTAAAAACACTATAGATTGTGCGTAGTTTGTGTGTAGGGTAGGGTTTAGGTCAGTGGTTCGCTAGGTGATCTGCATGAAAAGCCCTGCCTTCTCTACCAATTGTAACACGTAAGTAACATTTCAGATTTGAAAGAAAAGTAGTCAGCAGCCAGATTTGTCATCTAAACACACGCAAAAAAAAAAAAAAATATTAGGAAGCATGTATTTTATGTTTTGCAGCATTGTACGATAAGGTATATGTTAAGGTCCCAAATCTTATCCAACCCTATGCTGCACTATGTCAATGAAATAACCTGTCCTAGGATATTAGGTTTTTTAAATCAGATTTGAAGGCACTTTTATTTGCCCAGGCATATGGTTGAGCTAGCAGAATTTAGCTTGAACTTACTTTGTTTTTTGCAGTCTTAATTTAGATGAATTTAGATGCTGTTTTAATTGTAAATCTTTTATTTGAGATTTTGCTTGTTTTTTTTGTTATGTTATTTTAATGGAAATAACTGTGGATAACTCACATATAGTTTTATTGTAATATATTTATATATTATTATATTAATATTTTTTATAATATTTATTGTATAACACACTACAAGGGCTCATTTTAAGCACAAATTTTCTGCACAATTTGCAAGCAATATTTTTTGTTCCCCCTCCCCACAGTAAAAATTCCATTATCATTTACTCACCTACCACTTGTCTAAAATCTATTTGAGTTAATTTTTTTTAACACACAAAAAAACATTGCGTTCCATAGTATTTGTTTTTTCTTCTGTGGATGTCAGTGGTTTCAGCTTTCTCCAAAATATCTTCTTTTGTGTTCAACAGAACATAGAAACTCATAAAGGTTTGGAACCACTCAAGGGTAAATAAATTGTATGTGAAGTTACATTTTTGGTAAAATATCCCTTTAATCTTCATTGTCGAAAACAATGAAGTGTCACACATCTGTACACGCACATACATTCAACATTTAGTTGTTGTGTTACGTCATGCAGCATTTTGGCTTTAAATGTGCAAGACTTCCTACTGAAGCAATAAAAGGTTTTATTTCCTTCACGGCTTCTGAAATCCTTATTGTGTTTTTCTAGCTGAACTGATCCAGGTTATTTTCTTCTCAAGCGCATGCACATCTTGCTGCTGATTCTGTCTCCAGGCAACTCCCACGCGCTGGGTTGTGATCCAAGATGCCTCAGACGTGTTCCTAAAATACTTGACCCAAACTACATCACACGCATTCACCAGGAAACGCGTCAAAACCGTCCACTATCCCCCAGAGTATGACATAATCCCCCTAAAGACTCAATCTGTTGATGATTTTAAAACCACTCAACAACTGGAATCACATTTTATTTTTCACACGATATTAACTGTTATTAAATATGAAACATTTAAACCAAGTCTTTTCTGGCCAGAAGGTTTATTATTCACACTATTATATCCTTTTTTGTAATTTTTGGGGGGTTTTAGTGAAGCTACAGTACAAGAAAAAGTGACAATCGTTTCTGATATAGACAAATAAAATTACATTTTCTTTCTTAATAATAAAGTTTCTTTCTTGACATATAATTAATTTTATTATATAAAATTTATTGAACCATTTTATTGCACAAAAAAACTGTATACTAGTGGAAAAGGGTCCTTTAGATCATTCAAATGTTTAATATTCTGAGAAAAAGATAATTATATAAGGAAATGCTCAATGAAAGCTTCTCTATGAAACCTTTTTTTCTGTTATCACTGCAATAAACAAACAAATAAATAAAAGAAAATTATGCAAGAAATATTGTGATTATTTATTTGAGGAAGTGTGTGATATAAGCATAATAGCATATACTGGCATGCAGTTAAGGATTGTAGCTTAATATAAAAATGTCCATTATCTATACATTTGTGTTATATAACACACCTTACAGTCATAACATTAGAGAATAAAAAGCAATATACACATTTATAATTTACTTTTAACAGATATGTCTAGATGTCTAGATGACATCATTGTTTAAAGAGTTAAACACTGTAAAAATGATTTATTAAGGTATAAAAATAAATAGGCTAATGGTCTAAATCTTTCTTCAAACTGTTATTTATCAGTTTCTGAGAGAATATTTTAAAATCCATGCACTATTTTTGTTTAAGTGTACAGACATGTATATGTAGGGCCAATTTATGAAAAGCAATAGGTCTAATCATAATACTACACATTATGCAACAATGTGCATTATAGGCAACAGCGTTGAATATCGTCATGAAATAAGAAATAAATAAATAAGGGCACAAAACACTCGCCTTGAACATATATGACGTCATACACGCACCGTCTTAACAAAGAGGCTTAAGAGTTTAGTTCATAAACACTCTTTTTCCAAAATAATTGCATCTATTTTCTTCTTCGAGACTGTCATAACTCATCACACGCCATGACATGTGTGTGGATAAACACACCTCATGCGTCTAGCGGGTAAATCATGTTGTCTTCATGTGCGTATTTCCGGTGCTGCACTTTACACTTGATTGGCGAATATTACGGTTTTGAGTGCCAATTTAATATTAAATATTTCCAAAATAACTCCCCCAACACACTAATATAGCCTACAATACAGTGTACAGTGATATAAAATAGCATACAGGCTAATGTAAGTACAAAATGTCCACAAAATATATCTTAGAATACGGTGTTTCATTGAAAACAACAAACCAAAACGGAATCCAAGATCGAAATTAATAATATTAAAAAACTAATAATGCTGGTGTCAAATTATTGAAGGTAGCTATGCCATAATCGCAGTTTATAAACATTTTCATTACGTAAATATAGATAAACCCGTGTACTCACCATAGGTTGGTTTTAAATTGGTCATCTCAGCCATTTTGGCGTCCAATGGCTTGGCTGTGATCAGAAAACAAAAAACAAAAAGCAAAGGTAATGAATTTCTATTTAATTTCCATGAATTTCTCTAGGCCGATCCTCCAGCTGAACGGGTGGTCGAGCTGTAGGATGTTTTCTTCAGCGGCTGCGCGCTCCTCAAGGATGCGCTCGGTGACGCGCGCGCGCTCCCGCCTCCAGATGAAAGTGATGATGCTCATTCAGGGCGGATGCTGCGCAGCCTCGACTGTTTTTCATACATAAGCGCTTCAGCGCCCTCTACAGTTCATACATTTAAACAACATTCCGCGCTATCAAGTTCAACCATGGGGTTATTAGAGGTAACCAAAACAAAATGACTCTTATTAAAATATACTTTAACTTAAGGTTGCCCAAACATTTTCTCATTAAGGGCCAAAAATCAAACTTGATTGAGGGCTGTGGGCCAAAGTTTAATATACCAAGCCATATTACCATACATTTGCCATGTGTACATTTCAAATGTATTTGCTAATATTTAAAAATAACTAGAAAACGTTGTTTTAAAGCATATTAATGATGCAGTATCATTCCTAAGGTTTTATAGTTTACTTATTATAGTCAAAAATACACAGTCTAACGCTATAGTATCAGTAGTAGTAGTATCATTATTAGTAGACACTTCAGTAGTAGTAGTCGTGGTTGTGGCTGTAGTAGAAGCAGTAGTAGTTGTAATATAAGTAACTTTCCGTAGTAGTAGTTGGTGTAGCACTTGTGATTTATTATTATTGTTGTCAGTTATTACTGTTGTCCTTTCTCTCTTTTTACTCTCATATTTACTATCATACATTAATAAGCATTGTTGTTACTCCCTACCTCTGAGTGGTTTCTTTCTATATGTTTTATCTATATATGTGACACTTGCTTCATTTATTGACTGTTATTGTTCCTAATGTATGTACTCTGACCTGTCCACCAAGTTACCTTTACATGCATACACACACTCACACGCACACACTCACGCACATACCAGTACCTGACTATATTGTTGATGTTTTTGTTTTGTTTTTGTTTTGTTGCTTTGTATTTGTTATCTGTTGATATTTTCTTGTATTTGTATGATTTTTGCATATTCTAAAAAAAAAAAAAAAAAATTTCATTCAGATTGACCTTAATCTCATAAATTAAGTTGTTTACATAAAGGCTTTTCAGAGATTATTTGGTTGCATGTAAACACTTCAATACATGTTTTCTTCTCAATCAGATTCAGAAATAGAGTTTTGTTTACCAGAGCCTTTAGTAACAAAATGTCTTTTTAAGAACTGTTTATTTGAGTAGACTGAATAAAACTCATTTGTTAAAAAAAAAAAAAAAAAAAAAATACACAGTCCCATTTATAACACAATAGAGATCAATGCTGAATACACTAGTCGAGCTACTCCTGCTTTTGCCTTGATTTGCTTACTGATGTCTTGCTGATTTTCCCATCTGTCAAGTGGCAGTATTTACATTTTAATAGTCTGATTCCTTTACATCTAATTTTAGTCGGCTTTTTTGTAGCTCCTCATTTAAACAAAGAAACTAAAGGTTACGTTAAATAGAAAATGGTGCTCTCTGTCAAAGGCATTCGCCCCAACCAACATCTTATCATTCTCCCTCTCTTCAGATAGGATGGCAAGCCAAACTGTAGATTACGATGAGCCAACTTTGGGCATCTCTGCTTTAACTGAACAAAAAGTCATTCATTTATTTTCCTTTGGCTAAGTCCCTTATTTATTAGAGGTCGCCACAGCGGAATGAACCACCAACTATTCCGGCATATGTTTTATGCAGTGGACGCCAACAAACCCAGTACTGGGAAACACCCATACACACTCACATTCACACACACTCATGCATTATCATCCAATTCACCTATAGCGCATGACTGTAGGGGAAACCGGAGCACCTGGAGGAAACACACGAACACAGGAAGAACATCCAAACTCCACACACGAATCGGACTCAAACCATCAACCTTCTTGCTTTGAGGCGACAGTGCTAACCACTGAGCCACCATGCTGCCCAAAAAAATGAAGTAAAACATAAAATTAAAATATAAAAATACGTATTTCATAAAAATGTTATTTCAGCTAAGAAATAAAAATCATTTTCATTCTGTTTAACTTGGTCAAATAACAAAAAAAGAGAGAAAACTTTATACTGTATATAGTCAAGCCTGAAATTATTCAGAACCCTGGGGTGTGTATAAATATGATGAGGTTTGAACAATTTAGTGTAGAGTTCTTATATAACAGATTTTATTTTAGAAAATAAATATTTATATTTACAAAACAATTACTCCAGCTCATTGCAAAGAAAAATCACAATCAATTTATACTCTCAGAAAAATGGTACAATGTTGTACCAAAGAAAGTACAAACCCTTGTCACAGGGGCAGTATCTTTTTATGGGACAGAATTGTACCTTAAGACAAAGAAACAAATTGGTACCATTGCAGTGTGAACCTTTAAGGACATGATTTGTACCATGGCAAACCAAAATGTACCTTCGGTTTTTAAAACCTGCAGAGACAATATTGTGCCTTCATCAAAGGTACATATCTGATCCACGAATGTACCAGTGACAAGACACTTTGTACCTTAACAGTGTCAAATGTGTTCCTTCAAGAACTGTTAAAAGGCATTTTGCTACAATTTATCCAAAATGTGTCAATTTATTTTCAGTAAATATTAAACATCAAATACATTTTTAAACACCGTTGTTAAAAAAGTTTCTTGTTGTGTAAATGCACCTTTCCCATTTACAATAAAGAATTAAAAATACTTTAACATCAATCAAAATATCTCTTATTGCTACACATTTCACACTTTATTTGTAATCACTTAAAAGATCATTTAATTGACTTAATTTTAGAATGGAAATAGAATTATGGAAAATCAGTGTCTATGTTTGATTAGCTTTACAATACTAGTGGAAAGCAAATGCCAAAAGGTGCAGATATCAATAATGAAAATAGATTTACCAGAAAATGCTATCAAATATTTATTAAAATTCCTTAAATGTTTTTTTTACCAGTGGTTTTGTATAATAGAATGTAATAATTATTGTTCATGGGTTCATTATTGTTATGAATGATGATTCATGTTTTAATATGGAAATTATTCATAAAATCACTTTGCCTTTCCAGTCATTTTTTATAGATATTGTAATAAAGGAGTTGTCCAACACTTATGGACCTTTTTTATGTGTTGTGTACCTTCATTTCAATTGTACCATAAAAGTTACAGAGCAATTTTATAAGAGGTCTTTTCTGTTCCATATAGGAACAATATTTGTACCACCGTGTACCTCTTTCTGAGGTTGTACTATAATAACGAAGAAAGAAACTGTTTACAGGTAGAAGTTAAAAACTAAATAGACAAAAAACATAAAACTAGCAAACCATTTCAAATAATCAATAATGTTACATATTTGCCATATACATAAACATAAACAAACTATTTTAGAAAGTTGAAAAAACATGTTTACTTTCATTTACTTTAACCTAAATAGGCGACGCAGTGGCGCAGTAGGTAGTGCAGTCGCCTCACAGCAAGGTCGCTTATTCGAGCTCTGGCTGTGTCAGTTGGTGTTTCTGTGTGGAGTTTGCATGTTCTCCCTGCATTCACGTGGGTTTCCTCCGGGTGCTCCAGTTTCCCCCACAGTCCAAAGACATGCGGTACAGGTGAATTGGCTAAATTGTCCGTAGTGTGAATGATTGTATGCGGATGTTTTCCAGAGATGGGATACGGCTGGATACGACCCTGGATTAATAAAGGGACGAAGCCGAAAAGAAAATGAATGAATGAATGAATGAACCTAAATAATTATTTTTATATTAACTGAATTGTACCAATTAAATTGGGTTTAGAATAATTTGCTAATATGTCACAGTGGCGAAGTAGCACGATCGCCTCACAGCAAGAAGCTCACTGGTTCGAGCCTCGGCTGGGTCAGTTGGCATTTCAGTGGAGTTTGCATGCTCTCCCCGTGTTTGTGTGGGTTTCCTCCAAGTGCTCTGATTTCCCTCACAGTCCAACGACATGCGCTACAGATTAAATTGGCTGTTGTGTATGTGTGTGAAAGAGTGTGTATGGGTGTTTCCCAGTGTTGGGTTGCAGCTGGAAGGGCATCCGCTGCCTAAAACATATGCTGGATAAGTTGGCGGCTCATTCCACTGTGGTGCCCACTGATTAATAAAGTGACTAAGCCAAAAAGAGAATGATTAATTTGCTAATTTAACAAAGAACTCCACCACAAAACATATCTGTATCAAAATGATTTTTTTTTACTTTGGTGTACAGTCAACATACAGGAGCAGAATGTCCTTTAACAATAGAATAATCATAATAACAACAAGAATTGAAATGACAATATCAATAAAATAGTTGATTCAAATATATTCACACTGGATAACATACTGATAAATACTTGTAAGAAATCGGTTTCATATGGAATGCTGTTGATTTGACTTCCAGTTGGATGATTGTCATGTTACTGACATACATGTTGCTTTTCATCATGTAATATCCTTACACAATACAGTATGCCCATCAGTGAAAACACACACGTCGGAGAGCTTTAATTGTTCCGTGGGGCTAAGCCACATATTTTTGAGAAAAGCAAAAGTCATCCTTTGAAAAAAAAGAGCAACATTTTCATACAGTGAAAGAAAATCTAAATTACAGTGCAGAACTAATGAGGGAGAAGTAAAGTGAAGTTACTTTACACTAACAATAGTAACTCTACGTCTGTGTCAGAGATCGACAGAGGTCGATTGTAACTTTTTTTTTTCATTTTTAAGGCAAAATAAACCACACGATGACTCCGGACCATGTGACGCCATTGGCAAAACAGTTTAACCAACAAAATGTTTTGAATCCTGTAAGTCTAAGCAAGCTATGCACTGAAGTTGCTAATGACATTTAGATACCTCTCTATGTCTATTTTTATAAATGTTTTCTAGCTTTAAATACGACAAATATGTTCCTACACCACCAAGGTGTGAATTGGATGTGTAACGCGAGAGCTTTAATCTAATTCACCCAAAATGACCTCAAAAAGCATACTGGTTTGAAGAGAACTCAACACTGATTGCGTAAATTACAAAGTGCCTCTGTAATCTGTATTAAAACTACAGCTTTACTGTATTTAGCATTTAATCTGTA